GAGCGCATGAATAACTACGACGGTATCCTGATGACTTAGTTCTCTGGCCGTACCCCAATATCCGTGCCTTTCTACGCGCAAACCATGCCGTAATGCTCGATCTAACCAATAAACGAGCCAGGAATCTCCATCCAAGACCACGGTACCATAGAGACTCTGAGCATAAACCTAGATTATGATAAGGCAGACATAATAATAATCGGTTAATAAAATAAAAGCACTCCTTACTTAAGTATGAAACATAAAAATCTTTTAAAACCGATCCAACGGTTGTTTACAATAATAGCCACGTCTTTTGCAACATATGTAAAACATATTAAAAATAACTGATGCACGACGTGCCTTTCTTAATTTACTCATGACACATACGTTGCTAAATTTCGATCGATCTTTTCGCCCTTTTCTTTCGAAAGAAGAAAGAAATAGAAAGAGAGAGAGAGAGAGAGAGAGAGAGAGAAAAAAGAAAGAAAGAAAACAAAGAAAAAATTATAAAAACCTTTTCGCGGGAATCATTTCAGCCTTGTAACGTCGATTAAATGGAACAAAGAAGACGTCAATTACATTAACTAAATGAGACCTCGAAATTTTTGATAATGTTCGAATGATCTTCGATCGATCAAAGAGAAAGATAATGAGACGATTAACACGGTCTCGAATATGATTGGAAGAATATGAAAGAGGAATATTTAACGATAGGCGACTCGTGCAGCAGCAGCAGCAGCAGCAGCTCGTGCTTACTGACGACCGCGTGCACGTCTGCGATGTCACCAGTGGCACTACCGTCATCTTTGAGGTCTCTTGCGACGTTTCAACATCCGAACGAAATCGAATGAGAAAAATTAAATGACGATGAGAAAGATGAATACGAAAACTTATATTATTCTCAATATCACCGAATCGAACGACGAAGAATCAATTTCGACTCTCCTCTGACGTCATCCTCTCAATTTTCCTTATCAGACTTTCGCGCGGCGATCCATAAACTGCATTTCCTGTGTGACTGTGCGCGCGTGAAAGTCAGGCCTATCGTAACGCGAAACAGCGTTAAGCACGATTGTCGATTGCAGAAGGAAGGAGGAGAAATCTCTATATAGAGTTTTTTTTCTCTTCAACTCTCATTCTCTTTCTCTTTTCGTTTCTAGAGTCGAACGCAGATTTATCTCTTTGTACATACTTTTGTGTGTGTGTGTGTGTGCATGCGCCCACCTATTCTAGCATATGTACCGTGGTATATATATATATATATATATAAATGGCCTTGGATATTGATACGACACGTCTCTACGTAAAAAGAGAAGGGAAAGAGGGTTTAGTAGTAAAAGACCTATAACGAAATGCGCGCACGCACGCACACACACACACACACACACACACACACACTCACGCTCACACAGAGGAGACGCACACGCACTCACCAATTTGACGGCTTTCGTCAATTCTTGAAGAATTCTACTCTTAGAAAGGACCTTGTCGGTGCAAAGGTCCATGTCTTCCTGACTCGGCATTTCGTAATGCGATGATGTTACATCTTTCTTGTTGAGATAATAGAGAAATTTGGACGATAAAAATGAGAATTTTCCAAGGGAAACGCCAAGCACGTCTCCGATCCGACTCGACGGGGTTACGCTGGCACACTCGTCGCCGGGTGGACTCATTGATTTTTTAGAGGCGCGCAAGTCGGGCGGCAAATTTGAATGCACTGCGCCGATCGACTGACGTTGATCGTCTCCACCAGCCGTCTTTAAAACGATATATCTTTTTTATTTCTTTTCCTTTTCTCTCAGTGAATTCCAAGTGCCTACAAAATGATAGGTAAAATAACAGACACAATATCTTTAAATAAATAAAACGAGTAGAGAAATAAAGAGAAAGGGTTAAGGATGCTCATGGCAAATCTTGTTTGTGAGAGATTACAAACAAATCTAGCAACAAAGTGTTGAATGCTTGCTAACAGCTCGTGGATAACTCCTGGTGCATTCGATAACGTATTATCTCTAACCAAGCGCGAAAGTAATTTATTTCTTTCATTCGTTTCTCTTTCTTTTTTCATTGATCGCATTGAATGTTCTCTCTCGTTGGTTTAACAAAATCTACCGGATGTTAGATAAAATAATAATTGACAAATATTGAAACGCGATTGAGAAACTTTTTAAATATTTATTTTTCATGTGTTAAGGTTCATCTCTCAAAATAGAAATCACTCGTTTGATCTACAATTTATGAACATTTTTTTTCGAGACGTTGCAAGTACCTTTTTTGTATCCTCATCAAAGAACCTTCCTTTCCTATCCGTAAGTATATACTGTAGACGATATAAGTGGTAATAAAACGGTTGAGAAACGGGAAGGTACAGGAAACAAAAGAAAGAATATACGTTGAATGAGAGAGGAGACGTTTCAAATACCTACCGGAAGGTAAAAACTTCAGGGTCAAGTACACGTCGAGAGTATTATTACAATACGATACAAAAGTGCGCAGTTTTTCTTACCTTTTTCTCTACTCACTCTTTTTCCCTTAACGTAATTATTATTTCTCCGTCTATTTTATTATAAATAATAAAAGAATATATTAAGATTTAATTATGAACATTTTTACAATATGTTCATGATATAATACATCAATTGACTAAGTTTCGATCGATTACATCTTTTTGGCCCACCCAGTATATCCGAAGGCGTGCATTGACTTTGGCAGTCGTCATTTGAAAACTAACAATTACAATATTTTATTATTATAATATTATAATATTTATTGACAATCTCTCGAGAGTCCGTGAACGATAGAAGTGATTTGGTCGTGACCGAATCGATTAAATAAAAACTTGACCGATTCGAAATTCAAGGGAGAACCTAAAAAAAAAAAACCTTGCTACAACTAATCCGTCGTTCTAATTAATTATAAAGAATAAAAATAGCAAAGATTTAACGATTTATAAACAACGAAAGTTATTATTTAAATTAGTTTTTAATCGATCACTTTTTATAGTTCACCCTGTGTATTAGAAGTCGTTGCATTGACTTTGACAGTCATCGCTTAAAAAATAACGGTTAAAGTTAATCTCGAGTCTCGAGGGTGGAAATTTTCAATTCAACATTTATTAGTAAAGATACGAGAGAAAGAGAGAGAGAAAAAGAGATGGGAAAGTCAATTCTGATAAACGTTCTTGATATCCTTAAAAATATTCGTATTATCTGACGAGCCTAGCAGGGGTCACCTTTCTTCGAGCGTAACGTTCCAATCCTTTACGAGAGGTCAAAGTTTAAGATTTTTTTCTCCTTTTCTATCGAGTTATATCACGACGCTTATTAATGTGCTGTGATTTACAATGCAACTTTTAAATAGATCAATCGTTTTATTTTTCGACCGATGAAGGCCGACGAACAAATCGTTTTTGAATCATTTCCTGAAAGTTCGAGATCATCGATCGAGAGTTCGTCGAGATGGAAAACAACGACTAATTAAAGGTAATATTCAATTGTTTTATAGTACTTTCGTTGCATTGATAAAAAAAAAAAAAGAAAGAAAAAAAAAATGTAAGGTGCCACGAGAATCATTGAACATTTCTCGTCATTATCGTATCGTTAAATCGTATCGTTGAAAAATAACGAACACACGTGATTCTCATTCATACATTACTCATTAATGAAATAATTTATTGACCTTCTAACGACAGAAAGAGAGATAATACAAACAAAAAAAAGTAGGTTATGTCAATCTTTGTCGAAATTAATCATGTAACCTCAAATATCTGCTTAATTCAAAAAGTCGATCCATTGATCGATTCCTTCTTTATTCTTCGCATCGCAAAAAACATTCTTTTGTAGACTTTTATAAAATATTATCGTTGTATTTACATTAGATAGTTTCTAAAAAGTTTCTTAATTGGACTACGTTCTTTTACATTATTATACGTATAATAGAAATTACGCATTTCGTTTTCCTTTTGTGAATGATTTCGTAATAACGATATAATTCTCATAAATTACGTAGATTAGTGAAAATAATGAAATATTTCTTCGAACCTGTTACGAACATAATTCGATGCGAAACGTTTGTACATTATTTTTATTCTGTAAAAGGATTACGCAATTCCTTATTACGCATGTCATCCTTTCTTTCATGTCATGAATTACTTACTACCTTTTGACGTTTCAATCGAACTATCTTTAACTGGAGCATGAAACGATGCAACGAAAGGACGTGTCATTTCAATATAAAAATATTTATCAGTCTTTCTACCGATGAAAATATTAATAATTCTATGATTTAACATTTTAATAATCATATAGGTATTTTAAACTACTTTATCCTGTCGATAAAAAAGTGAATTTATCCGTCGAGCATCGATTTCACGTTTTCGTTGACATATTTTCTCCGATAGATGGCAAAGGTAGTCGGTAATATAGTTAAAAATAAATTGCATTACAATTACTCTTGTTAACATTAATTATACTCATTGGGTTGTTATCATTTTAAGCTTGAAAACGTTCTATTAGCGTTATCTTGGAAACTCTAGCAATATAAATTATTTTATGATAAACGATATATGCATTTAATTAGTACTATAACTAATGCATTGAATTTTTTTGGATAAGCGATGGATCGAGATCAAAGGATCTTCTTTACCGGTGAAAAAGATCAAGGATTGATCCTTTTGATGGTAATCTTGGTATTCATATTAATTTTTTATGTCAATCAATTTTTAAGATGAGTCAAAAAACAAGAGAGTTGTAATAGTTGTAAACGCTTCATCGACTGAAAGGAAATTCTTTCAATACGTTACTGGGGAAAATATTACCCAGTCATAATCGATATGCAATGGAAATATCATCGTACGATTGTAAACAATAAGGCAAGTATCATCCAAGTAATTTAGTTCAACAATTGCGCTCGACAGCTTGTAGAATTCTAGCTTTTAATATTGCATTATGTACACTTTTTGAACATACTTGAAATGCAAGTATAATATGTAGATATTTTTCATAGATGGACATGTAGTATCACTGTTCTGAAAGAGACGAAAATGCGTAGAATTTAGATATCAACAAAGCAGAAGGCACTGTCTGAAGCTCCGGTGCTTTGCATTTCCCTTTTATTTCGCGTACATACGATGTGAAGTATATAAAATCGAGAGGAATAGAGAGACCAGAAAAATACAATAAACATTTTTCGTATGCCAGGTAGGTCTTATTTATTTGCAGATTCTTATCTACATTTAAAATTAATGTAAATTCATTATACATTTGAAAGGTTTAATATACTTATCTAGTTCAATCTTTCGTGTAAATGTAATTAAAAAGTTTCATTTATTAGTTGAGGATAATGTAACAAACGAAGTAACGATAATTTCTCTCTGTCTTTCTCGTTGGACACACACACACACACACACACACACAAGGGAATAATATTTTATGCGCTTTTGGCATTCTTGTCGAGTTTCTCATAGATTCATATTATTCAGTTTCTATGAAAGAGACCGAAACTATTTTTCTCATATACGTTATTTCCTTGTTAGATATGCACATTGCTCTGTTTACTCACGCGAAACCAGGCATGTACGTCAAGGGAAGAACTAATACGAACGTATAAATTATTTTCTCATACTTGGCTTGTTCTTTTCTTTTTCTTTTTTCGGTCATTCCTTCTGTTATTAAAAAAGAAGTAGAAGAAGAAGAAAAAAGGGAAGAAATGAGAAATTAGTTATATCACAACAATTATTTATTTAAGCAGTTTATTAAACGCTTATAGAAAAAAATGTTACATTAAATGTATTAACAATGTCGACGTTATATTTCTAAACTTTCTTGATTTTTCTTTCTCTCTCAAATTGCTCAAACTATTTCTTTCCTTTTATTTATTTTATCGATACATAATAACAATGTAATCGAAATTGGACGTATAATTCACACTCGATTTAAAGTTAAATATCTTTTAAGGAACCTGTTTGTTAGTCCTTACTCTGAATCATATTTTTATTGTTGCTATTATTGTTATTACTATTATTATTATTATTATTATTATTATTATTATTATTGTTATTATTATTATTATTATTGTCATCATTATTATTATTATTATTATTACTATTATTATTATTATTATTTCGAGGACTCGTACGTTGTGATTCGCTTACTACGTTTCCTTTTGATTTCGTTCTCTGTTTTCCTTTCAAGTTGGATAATACTTGTCTTGAGCACTCTTCAATAATTCTCTGCTCTTTCTCAGTCAATTCTAACGTCGGAAAATTTCCAAGATTCACTTCTGGATCTCTGTGAAAACACGAGAGTATATTTCAAAGAACGTACTCAAATATATTTTTGTTATCATACCTATATAAAATAAATTATAGTTTATAATAAAATAGAGGATGCATTGTATTCGTCCTTTTGTATTTCATTAATAGATAATTCTGTTTGTTTGTTAATTCATTTGATTATCAGACAGAGGAAAGAAATGTTATTACTGTCGTTGTAAGAGAAATGGATCATTAAAAAAAAATTAAGGGGAATATTAAACACGGTCCATTACGGAGAACTTGCAAATGAGACTACTAAAATGTGGGCCAGTGCCGTATGCATTACTGGTAGCTCTCTCGGTTGAAGCGATAGAAAATTGAAGAAAAAAAAACAAGAGAAAATAAAACAAAAGAAGATGAAATTACTCTTCGACTTTAACGTTCACCACTTTGCGTTACTTTCATTATTCTTCTGTACTTAAAAAAGAAGAAAAAAAAAAGAGAAAAGGAAAAAAAGAAAAATGAGAGAGAGGCGAATTACGAAAAGAACGAAGAGACGACAGTGTGCTATAAATCTTTGATAAAAGAAAAAAGGAAATTTCTTATCCGCTTTGTTCATTTTTAATATTCGCGATGGAAATGAAAAACTATTCGTGATGATAATCACGATAATAATAAGTAGGTGATGATGATGATGATGATGATGATGATAATCGTTCAAACGTGTTTTGATTACTTTCTGTTAAAGTTTTGCGGATGGAAATAAAAGTAGAAGCAGAAATAGAAATAGAAACGACGGGAAGTCCTTTGCGATCTAATTTCGCTCGACTTTACGCTCGAGCACGCCTTCCGTTAATCTCGAGCGACTTACTCGAGTTGCGAATTATTTTCGTGAATATTTCACTCACCTTTGATACTTGTTAAGTTTTGTTACGATCTTCCTTAAACTGCTCTCTCTTTTCTGTAGATTCCTCAGGTCGCCTTCTCTCTCCTGCGAACAAAGTATTTCCATTTTATCGACATCTTATCCTATTTGTTTTTATTTTATTTTATTCTTCAGAAACATTGTTTTAATTCCTTCTGTAGAATACATTTGATTACTTTCAAGATATCACCGATAACTCTTAATTCTTCCTCACGAGATTCCTGAATGTGACGCATAGTAATCGTCTCGCACGTTAGCCTAAGTATTTGCTGACGATACGTTTGTTCCCGTTCCATTGCCTTGTCCCAAGCTTCTTCTCTCGCGATTACTGCGTCCCTTAGGACTTGCATGTCCTTTTCCATGATATCCAGCTCCGATCTAGGAGGTTAACGTTAACGTGTCCTCTTAAAAATTCTACTCATGAACGGATAAATCACAGAGAGAAAGAAAAAGAGGGAGAGAAGGAAAGAGTATGTGCACGTTCTTTCAAATACTTTAAGGATTTTCATGAAATACGAAGGGATATAACAACTATAGTAAGAAATATAAAATAAAAATGTCAAAGTAAATTGGAAATTGATTTAAGCCATTATACAAAATTAAAATTCAAATCCATTTACGTTTTATTAACAACTTAAAATACGATCGATCTTGTTTTTTAATTAGATCGACTTTATTTAATAATAAGTTTCCTACGATTAATAGTAGCTCTCTGTTCGTCATTTATCCAATAGGTTATTGATAAAGTTTATTAAAACGTTCGTATATGATTACCTCGTAATTGTGACTGTAGTTATACCGTTTGTAAAATTCTCCAATTTATTCTGACATCCCTGACAAAGGGACCAATTCTGTACGGCCCGATCTACGGTCGCAATGACATCGGTTGTCGAGCTGCTATTTTCCATTTTATTTAAAATTTCATCTTCCTAAAGAAGTTGTATATACGTAATGAATGTAATTACGCTTGTCGATGCGAACAAATATCAATATATATTTAAGATATTAATTGTAAAGCAGACACAATATCAGATGAATTTATTGTTTAGTATTTGTTTATTTATTAGACACTTACCATTCGTTTATTTGATTTTTCACTAATTTCCCTCTTCGTCTTCGTCAATTCTTCTTGCAACGAAGCTATTCTATGCTCCAACTCTTTGTTTCTACTTTTCTCCCCGTCAAGACTGTGAGGAAAAACGAGAAAAATTATCATGTAGGACGTTCGATTTTATCAAAGTATTCCTCACCGACTTTTCAAATTCTCTTTTTCTCCAAAGAGCTCACGAAACTTCTCACGCATCGTGGCATTCTTCTCTTCGAGCATTTTCAATCTAATTTTAATACTTTCTACGGACCTTGCATTAGCGATTGAAATTCGTCGATCTCGAGCTGATTCGCTCGCTATTTTCCTCATTTCCACCCTATCCTCTGGGAATACAAGTTGCTCGCCTCTACCTATGAAATTTTCTTTCGAAATTTCAAATTCTTTCGAATATCGTTAACATTCGATTCAATATTTTATTAATTAGATTTCCTTTAGGTGTATTCTTGATAACAATGGAAAGGAAATTAATTATAAAATTGAATGAATTAGATCAATATAAATTTGGAAAAACAATGAAAAACAATCCCTGCAATAAAGCAATTCTATTATAATATTGCAATGTATTATCACGTAAAATTAAATATTCAATTATCTCGTTCTACGTTCTTTGAATGTTGTTTGAGATAATTACAATTTATTATGTTGCAATTAAACCGGTTCTCTCCGGATGTATCTGTGCCGGTCGTGCTTCTACTATAATCCATGGACATTGGAGTGATCCATCCAGCTGTTGTGTAACTTCCTGAAAGGATGATAAATTTGTTCGTTCTGTGTTTGAAAATTAATTACTTCTCTTTCGGTCAGACTTCTCTTTTAGTTTCCGTAGATAAATAAAATAGTTCTTTTGATAAAAGATATGATAATTGGGAACACGATCGAATAATAATTGTTAAAATTAATTGGTAAATTAAAAAAATATTCTTTATTCAACAAATCTATTTTCCGCTTACCAGTGTACATTTCATTACAAGGGCTACGAATGCTCGATGAATGTATCGAATTGTCGTGATCGTAAGAACGTGGAGTATCCAGGTGATAAATCTGATCCATTCTGTGATCAATCGATTGACAATTCAAGCAGGACATCTTGGTTTCTGTTATGTCGAAATCTTCTGACTATATTTTCTCGTATTAGTTTGATATTTTTATGGGTTGCGATCAATATTTAGAAGTTCCTTAAAATCAGGAAAGAGAAAGTTTGTGTTTTTCTCTTTTCTTTTTTTTTTTTTTTCCTTTCTCTTCAAAATCTTCACATATTAATGATCGTTGATGTAATATCAACGACGAAGGAAAAATTATTACTTTTCTTTAATGGACGCAAACATCCTTTTACACTCTGAAATTTCTATTATTTTATAATCATAATTTTCTTTTGTTTGTACTAATTTCAAATCGAACTCGAAAGAGGTTGATCTTCATTTGGCCATTAGATTTAATCGTAAATGTTTTACAATAAGTATAACAAATATTTCGTCTTTGCTTGTTCTTACAAAAGTTTTCACGTAAGTTCGATCGCACGTCAAAGAAAATAACAAGTAAAATGAGAAGCGTAAAGTAATGATTCCGTTTCTATTTGACTCGACACCGATGGCAGCCATTGGATTTTACACGCTCGTCGAGTGAGCTAAGCCATAAAAGGAAATGGAAGAATGCGGAGAAATTTTATTTCGTCGACGACGACGAACACACGATTCAACTTTACCTCTTGTCAATTTTTTACATACTTGGAAATGTTCAGAACAAAGTATTTACCTCAAAGGGGGAGGTAAAAGAGAATGGACTAGTAGTTTTCAAAATGTAATTTTATTTTTTCAATTAAAATATTTCACAGTTTTTTTTTTTAATTAATCATTATTTCGGAACATTCTCATTTGCAGGAGAAGATTTTTTATTCGTTCATCAATTTTATTCTCGGAAATATTTACAAGATCCCTTTTAATGTCAATGGAGATTCAATTACACTGATAATAATAAATTATTATTATTATTATTATTATTATTACTATTATTATTATTATTATTATTATTATTATTATTATTATTATTATTACTTGCGATGCAGTTTATGAATAAATATGTATGTATGTATATTCTCTATATATCGAGAGACACGAAGCTGAAAGATTTTATATATATAATATTATTATTATTATGTATATATCTATATAGATGTATGTACACATTGGTATATACCTTCGGGCATTTTATTTTCCATCCAGTTTCACTGATACATGTAAAAGACGAAGAAAATGTCAATTTCATATTTCCACGAGCTCGCTTTGAAATACCAAATCGATTTTGTTCTCTCTCTGTATATGTGTGTGTGTGTGTGTGTGTGTGTGTGTGTGTGTGTGTGTGTGAGCGCGCGCGCGCCTCTATTTATTTGTGTAATGGATGTCATTTAATGATGAAATATTCTCTTTTTTCTTATTCCTTTTTAAGACATTTTACGTTTCGTTTACGTAAAAATACATTATTCTTTTAATAACGTCGATATCTCATTCTTCTTATATTAAATTTATTTACATCCTCTTTTATTATTTTATCTTTTAGCGATTTTTGAAGGGTAAACAAAAATTAGCATAATTGTAAGATAAAAACGGAGACAGTAAAGGATAATAGTTTTATTATTGCAAATTATCAGTATCGCGTTCTCATTAAAGTTGTTAATTTTAAAGAGAAATCGCGTAACGATTACAATAACATTTTTAATGATTCTCCTTTCTATTTTTCTTTTCTTTTTTTTTCTTCATTAGCTTCCTTTCTCCAAGGATTTAAACTTTAAAGCATTCATAAATGTAGGTTAAAGTCCGTGCTCGTTAAAAGACACAATTTAAATGGCGATACGAGAGAAAAATATCTTCTTTTGAGACATCTCGATGAGATACCGAAAGACAGAAAATTAAAAGTAATTGTGAAAGAGATATTGCTGCAGAAAAACTGAAATCCAGTTCGAGGAAATGTTCTAATTATAAATATTTATAATACTTTCACGAACAGTTTTATCATTTCAACGATTTATAATTTGTAACAGTAGTCTTAATTTGGAGACCTCGTAGAATTTTGTAAAAAATGAATAAAATTTGTGTAAAAATTTCACTTAGGATCAAAGAACGTTCTAAGGTGATTTATTGTTAAAGTAAAGCCGAGCTTGCTCTCTGGTAAACTAAAGAAAGAATTCGCTGATTGGTGGCTCGCAAATAGGCTGCTCGGCCATTCCTTTTCGGCGTGTTTCTTCGGGAATTAGGGAAAGAAATATAAGTAAAAGCTTAAGATATTTGCTCTCCTTCTCTTGGTGGTCTTTTAAACAATTTAAACCAACGACACCATCACGTGCTTTCTCGAAGTTGTCGAGTGCAGCATCCCTGGTCCACTTTTACGAGATGAATGTGCCGTCAGGGACGTCGTCACTGTCGTCCTTGTACTTGCGGTTTTAGCACCACCGGTGCCAAAGCAGTGATGTGGATTTGCAGTGCACCATCCCGAAACCCAGGAAATCGCCTGCATGTTCCTACCGTGCAACAGTTGCTCCTTAGAGAGTTTTATCGTTTTTATAATGGTTTAGTTAATCATTTTTTTTTCTTTTTTTCTTTTGACAATTTCTAAGGACAAATCCTATTCTTTGCAATTTCGACAACTCACCGTACATTTTTGCAGAATGGCGTGCTGAAAAGGCAATAAATTATGGGATTGGCAGCAGAATTCAATGGCGCTAAACTTTGTATAAAAGTTGCTACTGCAATGTTCGTCTGCGTTTTCGGCACGTGTCCGTAAACTTGAAGGAGATCGAAGATTATGTATGGACTCCAACAAAGGATGAATACTGCAATAATTGTAAGATTTTGAAGAATTATTAGAAAATCAATTCTTCCGACGTTAATACAATTATAATAATAATCTCAATTTTTTCTTTTTGTTTTTTTTTATCTTTCATATGATCGATCCAGTAAATCATTGATGGAAATGCAAACGAAGCTTTTGTAATGGCCACGCGTTTGGATCGTGATTCAGAGTTCTAATAGCCATTTCGATTGTATAAACACTTTAAGAATGTTCCCGATGAACGAGCAGATTGTATTCGTTCCCCATTTAATTCGATTACTGAATGTAGTTACTGTTATTTCGGGTGTTCGTAAGTACGTTTGAAGTCTGGCTAGGTCATCGATCTCTCTCTCTCTCTCTCTCTCCCTCTCTCTCTCTCTCTCTCTCTCTCTCTCTATCTCTTTTTCTCTTTTTTTCTTTCTTCTGATGCGTATTTTGTATTATTTATTTATTTTTTCTTTCGAGCAAACATCAGGGAGTTCTCGGTTACTATCTTTTAGCTTTTTTTATCAACGCTGCATCATCGCTCTCAAAGAATTTCTCACTTTCGGAGAATATCAAGGGTATCGTATCGATAGGTCCCTCCCTAGCTCGAGTTCCTCCTTTCGCGAAAGTATCGTCGTCAGCTAGAAAAGAAAAGATCTCCGAAAAGGCCAATCGCAAGAAGCGAATCTGATTAGCTCGAGCGATTTCTCGTACGCGTAAAATTGTCCCTGGCAAGATAAGGAGGGGATGGGGGTTGGACGATGTACGCGAGACTTAGAAATCGGGATATACAGGGTGTCTTGGAACATGAGTCTGTCGATATGTAACGCTCGATAAATTATTTTCTTTATCTTGTATCTTAAAAAATAATTCAAATACCAACCACGAATGGTTTGACTTTAATTTCTTCTCGTTGATTTCTTTTTAAATTCACCGAACCATCGACGTCAATTATTCGTTATTATATATCTTTGTTACTCGAAGAACGTTCATGTCTTTTAAGTTCATAGTTTGTGCGAGGAACATTTATATTCCTTGACACCTGTCCTTTCAATGTAACTCGAGACGATTGTATATTCAACGGACACGCTGTATATTGAAGTTCCACGCGTCTTTTGCTCTCTTCTTCGAAAGCCGTATATGGATGCTGAGAAGAGAAAAAAGAGGAAAAGAGAGAGTGAGAGAGAAAGAGAGAGAGAGAAAGAGAACACTCGCTTATCTTCTTGTGGCCATGTCTTTTACGCCGTGCAAATAAAACGGTTCGACGATATTCGTGGTAGTAGGATATATATCTACCTATAGGAAACTGTGTCGCATGGGAGAGAGGGTTATCGCTTTTTACTGTCGAATCCGTCGAGTCAACTTTCGAAGAAGCCCCTAATCGTTCACAAATTCTATTTCGAGGAAAAGCTTTTTATTTCGATCGTAACCAAATAGATATTTCTTGTCAAAGCTATCTTTATCGATCATTCGAATGTTATGTGTTAGATTTTTTAACGAGTTTCATAAAAGAGGACATGAAATAATTTCAACAAATGGAGCCCCCTCAAGTTTACTTTTTTAATTTATACCATTTAATCTTCAATCTTCATTACTAAAGTTAAACTTTTGGTCAATGATGATAGTAATAAAAAGTCCAGTCGTTTGTTCGAAGTGGGGAAAAGTTGAAACGACTCACCGAACACTATGACGAAGGTCATCTTAACGGTTTTGATCTTGGCTCTTGGTATAAGACCCCTAGACGAAGCTCTTCTAGTATCCCTAGTAGGACCTTGACGTAATGCGCTTCCTTGTGACCATATCGTTGCTACGATGACCATATAACAGCCTCCTATTATAAGGGTGGGAGCTATGAATAGGGTAAAGCTCACCAAACTCATGTAAATCCTCCATTGAATCGAAGATCCCAAGTCTATCCAGCATTGCTTCATTCCCTAAAAAAAAAGGAGGACAATGCTTTTTATTATTATTTCTAATAGGGGACAAAAATATGTATGTATTTTCTTTTCTCATACTTGTATACGTTTTTCCTCGTAGAGAAAGATGATGGGAATGCTGAAAAGTGCTGAGAGACTCCAAGCAACCACCACCAATACTCGAGCTCTCCACCCTGCATAAAATTCTTCACCTTACAAGTATTTACGAACTGGTATTATCACCGATAATATCTTTCTTACAAAGAATACCAAGATAATATTTCGACGTCTTAGGAAGGATCGTCATTCAACGATTTTCAACATTGGATTTTTTTTCTAATTAAATGCTAACGCTTATGTATGCACGTAAGTAGATACTTGTAATTTATGCGTTTATCGTGTGGTCAGGACTAAAAGCATTCTCCATGTAAACTGCCATGTTTACATGGACGATACATCGTACTTTTTATTGTGGATATTATCGGAATACTTAGAAAAGAGTTCTCATTGATATCAAGATAAATGTCGACCGTTTGTGACAACTGATATTATCTTTTCAGATTTTACTTAAATACTTATTACACGATGATCGTTTCAATTCTTTCATATAAATAATATTTAATCTTTGTTTCAGAACGTTACTGAAAAAGAAGAATTTTATCGAATAGGAGATAGTAAACAAGCAAATTGCTTTAGTTGAAGTTAACTTTGTTACCATTCTAATTGACTCTGATAACAGTGAGTTTCATCTACAATTATTTTCCAACAATCATCACGTTATCTCTTCGTTATTTTTCCGCCATGTTAATTAAGTGATAAGGTTAACGAGAGAAAAACGATTAAAAGCGATGGAAACCTTTCTCACTCACTAAACATGCGTTGGTAAGTCTGTAGAACCTACATTTAATGTGTTTAACATTGCATTCTTGCCGTACTCGAGAAAATGACTTCTTTTTACACGATGAAAAATGTATCTTCCTCTCTCGTTATTCTACTTTTTATTTTTTCTTTTTTTTTTTTCTTTCTTCCTATTTTTTTCCCCTCGAGGATTTACTTACGCGAGATATAATATCAGAGTGAAATGAGGCGAGAATAAAAAAGGGAAGGAATAAAATGTATAGAGTATTTTGGCAAAAAATTATTTCACTCAAACTTTTCCTGATTAACAGAATATTTTTATCATCGTGTAAACAGACGAATTAAACGATATGAATTAGTTGATTTTCAAACGAACCAGAAAGAGTTACGTTTGAGAAAAATGACAATGTTTAAAAGATAAAACATCCTGTATATCATACGCACGCACACTCACACACACACACACACACACACACATATCTTTGAAAATCGGCTTCGTGGTTGGAAACGATTTCTCGGTCGACAGTAAATATAAAGTCTGAAAAGAGGAAAGCTTGCGACTGACTGGCGACCTTTAAATTATAGCTTTTTCTTTTTCTTCTACCTCTGTGTCTGCCTCTTCATCCAGCTCACCACTCTTTGGTGACTTTTCTCTCGAGAATAACGTGAAATGTGTGTACGCGTTTGCTACCTCGGCTTTTTCGAATACAACTTGAAAATGTACAGAAAGAGAGAGAGAGAGAGAGAGAGAGAGAGAGGAAACAAGAGGCATCTTTGAGTTTCTTCTACTTATTCGAAGTAAGTCTGTATTTTATAAGTCATAAAAATCTTACTTGGAAGAGAAGATAGAGAAAGAGAAAGGGAAAGAGAGAGAGAGAGAGAGACTGCAAGGTGTTACCAATCCAACAATTTACTTCTCTTCTCGAGCTTTATCGTTCTCTTTCTCTGTGTACAATGGTCGACATCGCAACTCATGATTATTTTTATATATTGCAGATACGAAAGGATCTGCTGCTCGACACTTTTTCTATGTATCATACATATATATATATATATATACATATCTGTGTGTGTCTGCGCGTGAAAACATATTTATATATTTCTTTCCGAGTACTTGCAGGAAATTCGAAAAGATTGCTTCGCTCTCCATTTACGAATGAGAAATTTTGGAAACATCACAAAGATAAACATAAATCAATGAATGAAATTTTACTATAAACTGAACTGTTATTTATGTAATATTTTATATAAGAAGAAAAAAATATACTTACAACTTCCTGAAAAGTTCATCGGTCGTGTAATAGCGTCGTATCTGTCGATCGATAGTGCAACCAATACATACGTAGAACTATAGGTGACGACGGCTTGCATAAACCTGATGAGTTTGCAGGCAATGTTACCAGCATGCCAGGTCACCGTAGTTCTCCAAATTATATCCGTCAGAACTGATATCAAACCGACCAAAAGATCTGTGAACAAGGATGGATAGTGAAGTGGATTGATTTATCGTAATACGTTATTATTAAGTGCTATCCGAGTTTCGTTCACTTTATTTCCGAACGAATAAATATACAGACCGATGTGTAGGTGACGTCATTACGCAAATTCTTGAAATAAACGACGATAATAAACGACGAGGAAATTGTACTCTTTATACTCTTTCCTATTTATCGAGAAAATGTTTTACTCGTGCTTTTCAATTTTTCATGATAAACTTTTCTTTATTATCTATTTTCATATTAAATAAACATACATACATTTCATATAATATAAGCGCGCACGCACATACACATACACCATGTGTTAAAAGTATTTTAACACATTTGAAAACTTTTAATAATTATGGAAAAATCAGCGTGCTGCATGAAATATATTAAAAATTAAAAGGAATATTTCCTTATTATAGCAGAAATATTAAAAAAGAATTTTTCAATTAAGACAGATATATGTAATATATAAATTAATTTGTTAATTTTTATACAGGATAAACCGTATCATATAAGTTATCAATAGAATGAATCTATAATTTTCGTATGATTCGTTTTATATATGATTAAATGTAAATATAAATATAAATATAAATATAAATTAAAATTAATCTAATGTGATTTTTAAATACAGGTCTCGTTTTCTGTGTGTGCAGATCACGTTCATCAAACATTCCCGGCTGAATCCCTCTCTCATGATTTTTTCTTGTCAGAAATATTTATTTTCTATGCGGCATTATGATTTCTCCTGGTTTACGGAAGGATACTATGAGGAAACGATTTCAAGAATATCGTCGAGCAGTGCGACTCTCAAAGTAAGACTTCACGTCCATAAAGACCTTTTCAAGCGTTATCCTACCCTCCCATCATCATTTCTTATAGGAAGCCAACTTTACCCTCATGATTTTCTCATATTTTGTCTTCCAAATAAAAATATGATTGGAATTCGCGTATCTCGATAGGAGTTATCGCAAAATTAATGTGCACGTAAAAATGATGACCGAAACAAGTGGTGAGTAATATAAGAAAAAATTTTTTTATTACAGTTTCTCGATAGAAAAGAGTAACGTTTTAACGTAAAAGTAAAACAATTTCGTGTCGAATGAAAACGTCAGATTCGAGCGGACAGATTAATTTACCGGAGAAGTACCGATTTGAAATTTTATTGGAAATAGATCAGCTCAAAACTTAATAAAACAAAGAAATGAAATATTTCGAGCGTAAAATGAATTTCCATTTAATAGTTTCCATTGAAATCCACGGGTTTTTTTTTCATGGTCTTTCGTATAAAATTTTGTAAATAGTTTTCACGAAATTCTGTCATATGAAATACAATATAATAAAATGAAATTACAATGAAATGAAAGAAACTTTGTAATTGACTTAGGTAACCTGCGAACGCCAGTTGCTTGATGAAGAAGTCCATCCGAGATTTTCGACGTTTTCCAAGCAAAAGACCAGCAAGAACTGCAGTGTTACCAGCAACGATCACAACGAATAATAACCACAAAACTGTGAATTGTTCGGTCTGAAAAAAAGAAAAATCATTTTATACAAACGTAAGTGTACATATATGAAAAAACTTGATGCATATACGTATTATTAATCGAATTATTTTATCGTAATTAAAAAAACAGGTTGGCGGTGTTTCACATGATGATATTTTAATTGGTCGTGTAATCTCGGATACGGAAAAGATTTCTCTCTTTTTCTCCCAGTCTTTCTTTAGAAAAAGAACCTCGAATAACGAAGCGAGAAGTACGCTGTTGAGAATTAATAGGCGACATAATGTTCGTGGCAAATCCAGTGTTGTGTTGTACTTGGGAGACGACCGAGAATTATTACAATCGTCCCTCCTCGAGAATCTCATCTATTTTCTCCGTCGTAAAGCGAGACGTACGCTATTTCGTCGTCGTCTTCCTCCTCGTCATCGTATTTCTAATTTTTCTTTTTTTTTCGCCTTTTCTTAAGATTCTCCGAAAAAAAAAGAAAAAAAAGCAAAGAGAGAGAGAGAGAGAGAGAGAGAGAGAGAGAGATATAGTCGTCGTCTCAGCATAATTGATTTGTTTGCGTAGGTGAGCAACGATGAAGGTGCTGTTAACCGACTCTTCTCTTCTCATGCTTGACTCGATTCGAATTAAGATATCGGCCCTCCTTTCTTAATTGCCATGCCATTCTCATAAATCACATGCGCTATGTGCTACGACTATCACCTACCTGTATATTTATCAGTAGGATAATTACGTGCTCGACTTCTTCCCGAAATTGCGACGAAAAGAGAACTAGAGTGTCTTGATTTTTCTTTTCTTTTTTTTTCGTTTTTCGCAACAAAATTATTTTCTCTCTTTATTTTTCTTTTTTTCCTTGAAAAATTTATTTCCTTCATTCTTTATCTCTTTCTCTCGTCGCCAATATCTCTAACGTTATTGCAAAAGAATGTCGGACGTGTGAAAAAATGGTATGTTATATTCTTTACAATTTATCGACGTTATCAATAAAATTAAAACTCGTCGTTTTCGTTATTAATGTTATAGAATATATAAATAGACGAGATGTTTATCCATTTAACATTTTCAATAAGCCAACTCGATAATGCAACGAGTAATCGCCACTTTTCTCTTCAATATTAATCAACCAAATGCAATATAGTAGGGAATAAATTTGATTTAATTTACGATTGGTATTAGAAGACTTATGCAATATGCATGAGGTACACATATATATTGAACGATTCAGTGATTGCGTTCTTCGAAAGGTTGGAAAAACTGTGTTCCTCGGTTTATTTACTTAATCGTTGTGAAAATAGAACGCATCTTCATGTTCCGGTATGAAAAGCATTTCTGTTCTTTAAAAATAATCTCTCGTAGGAACTGCAGTCAGTTCTTAAATCGTTTCGTGCGAGTTCCTGGCGAGAGTAGTATGTATACAGCAGATATAAATCGCATCCACCTTTTTTCTACTTTCAAAAAGCTCTTTGGCAAATTATTCCAATCCATTAATTGTCTTTGTTAATTGTTTTTCTACTCTCTTCCTATGGTTCGTCTATTGCATTTTCCAGATTCTCTTTCTTTTTCTTTTTTTTTTTTTCCTTCAACAAAGTAAACTAAGCTTAACAGGGGTACGTTTTACAAGAATTTCCAAATAGAATTATCCTCTTGTTTTCTCTTTCTCTATTTCTTAATTTTCGTTATTTAAAAATTGAATCAAAGTTCTTCTTCGACTTGCTAAATCAACACATACATTACTGTACGTTATTTGCATTAAAATTAGAAATCTCTCGTTGCTTAGTTGTAATATCGAAATCGATTATGAGACAAGATCAGTCTATCTCCTCGAATGGAAACCCGTACGATAATGCTGCTCTCATAGAGCGATAGCTGTAAGTGACGTTAGCGAGTACTAGAAATCAGTTCGTCCATTACTCACTCAATGTATAACAACCTACAACGCATGATCGTGCACGTATCGCCGATGGCAGTTACGAAATTGTAACGTTTCATACATCTATGTATTTATGTATGGACATATATATATATATACACGCGCGCGCGCACACACACACACACACACACACACACATATATATATGTAATACAATGACATATCAATATATGAGCACTCGAATTAGAGAACTAATACCTTAATACCATATACTTGATTAACGCGGATACTACGTATTTTAAAAAACAAGCTATCATCTCTGAAATGCATGTAAAGTTTTCTGATGCACTAAGAATCCTAGTTTCCTTATTTGTTGCAGATGATTTTCATCAAAGTTTTAAGATGTACAAGGAATATTTTCAACGTTTGATAACGAGCCTACGAGTACATGTGAATCGCATTTCGTGGAAAGAACATTTAAAATGAAACGTATATGAGAATTGATGATGATAGTGGGGGTGAGGATAATCTAGCGATCTTCTCCAGTCTACGTCATCGTCGAAGGCATCGTGTGAAGGGCGAAGGTGAAGAAGGGGATCGAAAGGGATCGTAAAACATCCTATTTACGTCCTCGAACGCAGATTACACCCCTCGGGAGTACAGGACTAGCCCGTAGCAACGATATTTTCTTCCAAACGTTGAATTATCTAGCCATCGTACGACAAAATATCGTCGAATCATCGAATCTCCGCCCGAATGTAATACTCTCCTGGCTAACATTAATCTTCTTCTCCTTCTTCCTCCCTCTTTTAATCTTTTTTTCTTTTTATACATAGACCGGCCTATTTCCTTGTGAAATCATAGAAATAGAACTGGTCTTTCTCTATGCTTTTATAGAGCAAACAGTATCGTATATAGTCGATTACTATTGATGAATTATATTATGTGGTCAATAAAGTATCAGAATGATAAAATCTTTAAAGAGAATATTCGAAGGAGTAAATAGGATTGACGGAGCGAAGAAAGAGTAGAAAGAGAGAGAATGTCAGAGAGAACGTGACAAAGTAGCGAAGCGAATTGCATCGATTATTTATGCTCGTCAACTTAGATTCCAAAGGAGGAAACGTTGAAAGCGACCAAAGATGTAAAACGTCGTATTGCCATGTTTCAAGAGCTTCTTGAAATTTCAAGCAACTAGAAACTCAATCTTAATACGACAGGATTCTTGCTAGAGCGAGCATAGAAACTGAAGATAGGAAGTTTACAATGGGGAAACAAACGAGATCGTGAAGTTAATAAGTAATAAATTAAAATTTCAATAAAAATTAAATTTAAATTGTGATACTATTTCGGCGAATCAGATTCGACAATGCATTAGAAGGCATTTATTGTTGAAAAGTACTCTAGAAGGTGTACGCGCTCGGATTAATACTTTCCTGTAAATTACATTTCCTTTCATTCATCCTGGAACGTAGAATAGAAAAGAAAAAAAAAAGAAGGAAAACAAAAGAGGGAAAATGTCTTTGAAGGAATAAAATCACATTATCGATATTTTTTTCGCCTCATAAAACGTCAGGTCTCCGTGAATTTTTTTATTTTTTTTAATTTTTCTTTTTACCAAATAAGATATAATTTACCATTTACAATCTCTGGGAACGTGCTTTTTCACAAGAATGTAATTCTAAGTTCGTCTAATTCACCGTAAGAGAACATTTTGCGTTTACAAGGGTCTATTGTGTACTTAATTGTGAATTAAATGTCCATTTTATTCTTTCTTAAACGCAATTATGTTTTTTCTTTTGAGTAGACAAAAAATAAGAAAGAGAAAGCAAGATCGAGAATTTTTATTTCCAAGTATAGCCTTGAAACTCGACGAGAGTTGAGAGATCGAAAGTTAGTTCTCGTTTAATTACTAACTTTATAGGATGATTAAAGTCTTATAATTATCGTGTCACGTGTCACTGATTTTCACTGACAAGAATCTTATTTGAAATATTTCTTTTCTTTTTCTTTTTTTTTTTTTTTTTTCTTTTCTATACAGAAAACGACGACTTTAATCTCATACTTTAGAAAATAATGTTCGAGAACATGTTCCTGCACTTTTACCTCTCGATTTTTCTATTAAGAGAGAGAAAGAGAGAGAGAGTGAGAGAGAAAGAGAGATGGGTGTTTTAATTAAAAATTTTAATGAAGGTACGTGTGCGGAGATTCGTACGAGTATGCACATGACACACTGCGTTTTCGAAAAAAAAGAATAAATTTTTAGATTCGTTTAGGTAAATAGTTAGATTCGTTCCAGAGAACTCGGCATAACTTTTGTTTGTTAAACTGCTAAAAGCTTAATAATTTATATGTCAACACGTCCATCTGGTTACGAGTATTGTAATGCATCTTAAAAGGATTTTGCAAAAAATTCATTTAACGTTTATCAAGTAATTAATGCACCCTTAAATTAGAAAACTATTCTCAAGTGAGTCAGTTTTGTGAGAACATTTCGTTAATTGTATAGAAGGTATTGTGTTAATCGAACTTGACGATTTTCTCTGGGTTTTCTCTATTTCGAGATATGTTTCTTAGCTACACTAATTACTGTCCTGTACCGTTTATTCTCGATTTAACGAGTAAACGACTCTCTTCAATACTTTTTTCACACTCGTTACGAAAGTGTAATTAACTTTTCCCGGTGTTAATTACTTAAAGATAACAAAAATGCGAGTCTATGTTTAATTTCTCATTTGCTCTTTTTTTTTATAAAACAGTAGAGAACAGTTCTTGGATAATATTCTTTTTTTTTATAACGTCTAATTATTATTTTATAATTCAATTTTATAAAAAATTAATAATTAATGTTTATTATATAAAAAATTAATATAACGTTTGTTATAGAATACATATATTGTAAATAAGAAAGTATAAGACGAATTTGGGTTGTAATAGTAATCGATCGCAAGTAAATTAATTCATTAGATAAGTAAGTTCGTCTATCTTCCAAAGTTCCTGACTAGTTTTGCAAGATAAATTTATCTTCTTTTCTACCGCATGTTTAACTAGAAGACGGTTTGGCGTCGATCTTTGTTTAACTTGAAAGGAAATTTCTCTTAGCTATGATGAAATTGCTAATATTCAAACTAACAATAGGAAGAAGCATTGAATGGTTGGAGTCTTATTCCAGTGCTAATATAATGGACGAATAGAAATAATGAATAGCAAATTAGTATTTGTTGTGTGTCTAGAATGTTAAGTGAGATAGAATAAAATATTGCAAATCTATTAGAAATCCAGTTATGTAAATCCTGCGAGCTTTTCATCTTTTGTATCCCTCCCTCTCTCCCCCTCCCCCTCCCCTTCCCTCCTCTCTCTCACTCTTTGAACAATTATATTTTTTTCTTTTATTTGTAAAACTTTAGTAATCGAATATTTAATTATTTCAAGATTTTTTCTTAAACATTGCGTGCATGTATTTAATTGGATTTTCTTTCGAGCTTTCTACGTGCGTTTTCAACTCAATGATTTTATTAATTATTAATGCTATAGTTGAGAAAATCAAGTGATTCTCGCATTAATATTATTTGTATTATTATGTTAGAATTTTTAATATTACATGTTAATATTAAATGTTTAATGTTGGAAATGTTATTAATAATTCTATATGTTGTGCATTTTAATCCTTTTATTTCTTTTTGGAAAGAAGAAAATATGTTTTCTACGAACCTATGTAGGAATAAGAAGCCTTGATTTTTTTTAAAGAATTTATGTATATATATGCAAATGTTTACTTATATAACAATTATGCAAATACCATAAGAGACAGATAAATATAAAGATCGTATGAATGTTTTCAGTCGTCAAAGCCATCTGAATTCGTATGCATATATGGAGCATTTGTGTGGAAGCAAACAAGAGGTGTTTTTTGTCGTCTACCTAGTCATTAAAAGTATATTAAAAAAAAAAAGAAAAAAAAAGAAATAAAAATAGGGCAGTGGACCAATTTATTTAGGTCAGTAATGTTCGAATACGTTGATCAAAGCTTTCTTTTTTATCGTTATGTTTCAAGCTGTTATTTTACATTATTAAATAATTATAATTAGTAATAAATTATTATTATTATTTCGGAATATTTTTAGGAAAGATATACAATAAATAGAGATAGATTATTTTATTTTCGATTTATTAATTGTTCGTATTTTGATCCGTATTGCAGAGAGAAAAGAGGAACGAACTACGTACGTGTAACGATAAAATAATATGTGTATGTGTGTTTGGAAGGAAAAGATATTTTAGTTAATTAGTTAGAAAACAGTGATCTATTTTAATGACACTGATTATTAATATTTTTCCTTTTTTTTTCCTTTAATATTTTATATCATTCGTCATTTTTTAATAATAAATTAAGAAAATGAACTATTTTTTGGCGCGGAGTACCCTCGTTGGCGTAATTCGCATGCATGGTTTGCTATGCGCATGCGCGGCGCGGATTATTTAACGATTATTTGCGGTGGATCCGACGCCATATTTGTTCGATAAATATCATTTTGACACGGCTGCGTATCGTCCTCATTAATTTCAGGTAATTAATAGATTTTTTTTAACGTACACCCTCTTCTTATATACCAATCGATAGGTAAAGTCAAAATCTTCATGAGGCCGCGTTCGCAAATCAGAACATCATCGCATTCAAAAGATATTCGCGAAAATAAAATTAGCGTCTCGGCGTCCCCGAGGGACATTCTTTATTTCGAATTTTCTAGTAATATTTTCGCCATATCGATACTTATTTAGCTTTTTTAAGATATTTTAATTAATAATTGTTCATTAATTAGCTTCCATATATCATATTTTGTATTATATTCGATTTTCACACACACACACACACACACACATACACACACATCATGGATCATGCATGCATACTACACATACATCGTACATACATACATACATATATCATACATACATACATACATATATCATACATACATACATACATATATCATACATACATACATACATACATACATCTATCATACATATATATATATATACATATATACATACATACGTACTTATAAGGCTATTTCCTACCATACAATTAATTTTATAAATCCTATTAATACAATCTTACATTTTCAGACTTCCGAGAATTGTACGAACTGGAGAAGGAACAAAGAATACGAAGTAAACAATGCACACACACATGCGTAGCAATTCTTCTTCAAATTGTAAGTCTATCTTTTTTAAATATATAAAGAGAAGCGTAATAGAAGCAGAAGGATAATACTCAGCATATAATATATATATATATATATATATATATATATATATATATATATATGTATATAAACATAAGACTGGATTTCCACGAATTTTCTCGGCCGAGCACTTCCAGGAATTTCTTCGAACAAAATCGGGACAAAGGCGAGTATATCGAGCAATTTTAAAGGTTTTCATTTATACAGAGTAGGTCACTGTGTAGACATCTAAGAGAACATCGATTGATCTTCTTTAAGCTAATTGCTTTATTATCGAATATTTTGATTTTAATATATTTAACTTAATCACACTATTTAATTAATATAATAATAAGTTTATTATTACATAGAAAAATATAGAAAATTTTTAGATAGTCTACTCTAGTGCAATTATTATATTATTTAAACAATTTTTAATACTTTGGGTCTCCATATGCAGCAATCTCCAAATGGTGAGACCTGGAACAGTATTGCTTGATATTGCATTTGAAAATACATTTCCAAATATAATTTTTAATTATTTAATTTTTAATATTTTTATTCATTTAAATTTAAAATATATTTTAATTATGATTAATACTTTTGAATAATATATCTTTTAATGCATTGCCTTCAGAAATGATTAACATGAAATATTCTTTATAAATGTTATATTTTTTTTTTGTTATAATTGATTGTATGTTTCAGCTTTCCAGTTTTTATAAATTATTTGTGATCATCTATCAAGACGGTCTTAGAATCAGTGTTTACTAGTAATATTTTATTTATTTTGTAAATCAAATTAGAGTCAATAGAAATTTGCAATGTAGAGTCAGTGTTAGTACATATCTATCATCGTGGAGTAGGATACTCATCGTGCAAGATTCATCAAAGGCTCTAGTAAGTAAACTATTTTTTAAACATTTCTTCTTTAACTTTTTAAACAATTTTTTATTATTATAATGATACTAATAATTTTCTTGATCTTTCTGTTTCAGATCATCATTACGATCGTGCAAAAAGCAATAAATAAATAGAATGTTGTATCGCTTAAATAAATAAAAATAATCGTGGCGTAGAAGCAGTGTTTGCCCGTAAATATTTATGTTTATTTGTTCAATTAATAAGTTAATTAAATAAAATTCGAGTCAATATAAATTCGCGAAGTAGAGTCAGTGTCAGTGCATCATACTGGGGCAGGATGCTCATCATGCAAGGATCAACGAAGACTCTAGTAAGTAAATCTATCTTTAAAAATA